ATTACATAAGTAATACAAAGTTATCCAAGAGGGCAACAATTCGGAATTGTTGCCCTCTTGGATAAGGATAATTTTGTAACACTTGTGTAATGGAATTGTTGCCCTCTTGGATAATTTTGTAACACTTGTGTAATGGAATTGTTGCCCTCTTGGATAATTTTGTAACACTTGTGTAGTTGTATTACTTGTGTAATGGAATTGTTGCCCTCTTCGGAATTGTTGCCCTCTTGGATAAGAGGGCAACAATTCCTTGTATTACTTGTGTAATGGAATTGTTGCCCTCTTAGATAACTTTGTATTACTTGCGTTTTTGTATGTAATTAAATAACTCCGTCAACACTACAAGAAAACTGCTAGTGGTTGTATGTTAATGTATTTGTGATATTTTTTGTATAAAAAGTTTCACGTATTATGATTTAGTATAAAAGCCCCCCTGGTGGCTTAGTGATAATACTTAAAGATTAAAATCTGGGGTTCGATTCCTTGTTGTATAGCTTTGTGCTTAACAAACTCACACTTCATATGATTTGTTTTCTTTTGGTAGTATATACGCCATAGGGGACTGTATTCCTGGACCTATGCTGGCTCACAAAGCTGAAGACGAAGGTGTGTTATTTAAAGTAGTTGTGGTTCAAATGTGTTTATGTACTTTGTTATAAAATAGATCTAGTGCTCCAGTTCCAAAAGAACATTGTTTAAAACACTACCTGTTTGTGGTTTATTTTTTAATTTTGAGTAACTAAACAAGGATTTGTAACCTGTATCAGATTTGATGATCTGATTATATATCTTTTTTTGCCATGAGTACAGTAATAATAAAAAGAAAAGATTCAGAAAAGTTAGTCCGACCATAGAATAATGGGTCAAAGATGACCTCATGGTTAGCTTGATGGGAGGGATGAACTCTGTGCTATAAGAGTGGTGGTAAAATCAAACATTTTTTGATTGTAGTAGTTCATGAGTTGGCAGTGGGTGCTATTCAGTAGCTACATTTAGTGTTTCAGTTTAAAGTTAGGTACAGACAGTGTAGATATCAGCTGTGTAGAAAGAATCACAAGTGGTCAAGTGCCTATAGACTAAAACTGTTTCCTTGATCATGTAGGTATAGTGTGTGTAGAAGGAATCGCAAGTGATCAAGTGCATATAGACTAAAACTGTTTCCTTGATCATGTAGGTATAGTGTGTGTAGAAGGAATCGCAAGTGGTCAAGTGCCTATAGACTAAAACTGTTTCCTTGATCATGTAGGTATAGTGTGTGTAGAAGGAATCGCAAGTGGTCAAGTGCATATAGACTACAACTGTTTCCTTGATCATGTAGGTATAGTGTGTGTAGAAGGAATCGCAAGTGCCTATAGACTAAAACTGTTTCCTTGATCATGTAGGTATAGTGTGTGTAGAAGGAATCGCAAGTGGTCCAGTGCATATAGACTACAACTGTGTACCGTCAGTGATTTACACACATCCGGAAGTGGCTTGGGTGGGTAAATCAGAAGAGGAGCTTAAAGAAAAGGTTAGTTGTTACCATAAAACTTGTAGGGGTTGGAAAGATAAGGGACTTTTTATTAAGTTTTAATTTCATTACCAGAATTACATTTTGACATCCTTTCATTACTTAATAATTTAATAAACACATTTTATAAATATTTTTACTTAGTTTGATTAGTAGAATCTCTTATTTCGATACGTTTTAAGCACGTTTGTAGAATCTCTTTCTACACTATTTGATGTTGAATAGGTTATCCAAGTAGTTGTTAGAAAAGTTTTAGTTTTTGTGATTGGAAAAAATGATGATTTTCAAAAGTGTGTAGAAGTAGTTGTCAACAAAGTGCTAAGAACTTTGATGGTCATCCTATGACAACCAACTTTGGAGATAAGTAGTTGTTAAGGGGATTTCAGGACATTTTGTCATCCTATAACAGCCAACTTTGGAAACACAATATTGTGATGGTCAGAGGGAATAGGTTGTGAAGGAGGTTCCAAGACATTTGGTCATCTTAAAACAACCAATTTTGGATTTTATTAGTGTATCAATAAATTTAGATTTTTTCCCCCCCCAGAAAACAGTTTGTAATGTATGAAGTCTGTGGAAAGAAAAATAAATGGCTACAGTATCTCATATTGACAAATTTTGGCAGGGAGTTGATGTCAAAGTAGGAAAGTTTCCCTTCCTTGCCAACAGTCGAGCTAAAACCATTGCCGATACTGATGGCTTAGTGAAGATTATTGGAGACAAAGTTACTGACCGGATACTAGGAGCACATATCATTGGTGCAGTAAGTACTACACTTAGCTTTATTTTTTTTATTACAGAAAACATTGAATGATTAGTAGCTTTGTATAATATTTTCAAAGATAGCTGGGAATATTAATGTAAACAATGGTGAAAAAAAAGTTTTACTGCAAGCACAACATGTATGATAATTGTTTTATTTCTTACTGACAAATGTAATTATTATCAACAAAAAAGACGATTTGAAAAATATGCAAGTTCACATCAGAAACCTCATGATTATTTTTGCAAATAAATTCAAGCCCTATGGGGCTGTGTCTGTTAGTTATAAGTTTTATATGACACAGTAGAACTAACACTTTTTTGGTGTTTTATGGTTACTGTATTTGCACAACTTACAATAACACTATCAACAAATACTTGTGAAAATGGAAGAGGTTGATTATCTCAATGGGCTCGGTTTAAAATACAGAGTTTGTTTACACATTAAGTATGTGTATCTTCACAAAATTTGGTAGACTTTGTGGCTACAGAGGCATTGTTTCTTTCTCTTGTATTCAAACAGCATTACATGCCGAATGTGTGTGTCTTGTTCTGTGCCATCACTAAACTTTACACAGGCTATACCAACGTAATGTTTAAGTGGTTTATTTAATATACAAATAAGGGAGGTTAGATCATTCAGATATTTGAAAACTGAGGTTCATACTGTAATGCTTCTCTGCAGGTGATAGTTTACTTTTAAGACTGTTTTTTTTTACGTAGGGTGCAGGAGAAATGATTAATGAGGCAGCCTTAGCAATGGAATATGGAGCTTCTTGTGAAGACGTGGCTCGTGTTTGTCATGCTCATCCGGTAAGTAACATAAGTGAAATTATTTGAGATTTTATAATATGTTTAAGAAAAATTTACTAATTTTTTTTCCCTATTTTTCAGACTGTTTCCGAAGCTTTCCGAGAGGCCAACCTAGCTGCTTACTTTGGAAAGGCTATCAACTTTTAATTGTAACTTACCATTGAATGTACAGGATGTGTAGTTGTACAAAACTAGTCTTAATGGGGAAGTGTTCACTGATGACAGTTGAAGGATTTTAGTAGTTCAGAAATAATAAACATGTTCTTTGTAAGGTTGTCAAGTTTAGTAATGAAAGTACTCTTACACTATCATATCCACAAGGACTTGTTGACCACCTCTTTATTGAAATAACAACACTATAGAGTTGTTAAAATATTTTATTTCTGTCAGCTTTGAATATGAAAAAATAAACTCATACATAAAATATTAGACACTTCGTTTTGAGAGATTTTAAAAGTTCCAACAAGTTCTGTACAGTACATGCTTTTGGATTGGCAATATAAATGTGTAAAGTTAATGCATTACAAAAAAAAAGTATAACTTCCCAATCACCCTTTTAAACCATCTTTACTACTACTTAAAAGATACATACGAACACAGACCTAAAATACTTGTATTTGGCACTGTTCTTATAACCCTTTAACATTCAATACCACCATCTTTGTTTTAAATTTGTGACTTGCACTTCGGAGGGCCCAACATAAGAACGTAGACCAGCATTTCATGCTTGTTGGAATGAAATATCTTTATCGTGTTCTGACACTTTCATTCAACATAAATTACTACTGTTCCAAGATTTCTTAATGCTAAAAGAACATTATCTTCATTTACTTACAAGGGGTAAACTTCCATCATATTACAAACGTTTTTAAAAGGATTGGCAATAGCAATGATCTGGCACATTTCAAAATATAACTACAAGCTATAGCGACAATAACGGCACAATTATGGTCTTTTTGTAAATAAGCTCTTTTGCTTAATACTTAAATGATATTAAGCAGTGCTTTGAGTTTTAACACTGACACTGCTAGCCAGGGTACCACACGTAATACTAGGCTGTTTCTAAAACATCATCCATACCAGAAACCTGGTTTTATGAATTATTTTCACCTATCGAGCTGAGAGAAAGATTCCATATAATTAAAAAAAAAAAAGTTTTTAATTGCAGATTTGCGAGATAATGAACTATCAATTAGTGGTTAAAACTACGTTTGGGAATCTTTGAATTCCCGTCTAAACCTGTGACACGAACGAAATAATCTGAGATTCCATTGGGTTACTTCTTGCAACGTTTCACAAAACCATTTAAGTTCTTTGTTCTCGTGTGTTAAATAGAGACCTATGAAAGGCCTCAAGAAATCTGTGTACTCCTGATCTGGAGAGTTATTTCAATAAGAATATTTGGCCATTTTCTAACTTTACAATTCTTTTCATATACCATAGTTAATGTGCATGAACTTTTTGTTGATTGCTAGGTACCTGGGTATCCCTGGCTAGTGATGTTGGTGTTAAAATTCATTTAACGTGCATTCCTAATACATGATAAATAAAACAACAGATTTCCTTCTCTGAACCATAACATATAAATCACAGCATCTAATTTTGTGATTGGGCAGTTGAAGCTAATCTTACAGTGCAGCTAGTATGTAAAAAAACACCCGAACAGTAAACTGTCTTTTCAATGACAGCACAATACTGGAGTTTCTTGCATATTTGTCCTATCAACATTTACAAACAACTTCAATGCAAGAAAACTTTTGTATAAGTACATTTTCACTTCTCGATTCCTTCTTACTATCTGATAATAATGTCATGTAATCCACACGTAGGACGTACCCTCCCAGAGTTCACCACATCACGTTCCCTTGCTTTTCTACATCCAAACTGTTTTCATTGCTAGCCGTCCCTGGTGAGCCCTGGGAGGGTCCAGAACTTACCAGATTGTTATCATGGGCCGAGGGGCTCCTTCCTAACTCTGTTAATAATGGTAGTGAAAATGAAGTGGAGATTTGAGCGTCAGTCTTCCGAGTTTCAGGTGAAGAAAAATCATGGCTTGTTGCAGACCCCTGATATTCTCCAAGGTCACTTAACTCCGACAAACTTCGAGGACAAGAGCCAGCCACACTTTTGAGTGTATCTTCAGATGTATGATTGGTGCTGAAACAAAACAACATTTCTTGAGTTACGTTTCCCCATCAACTTGCATTAAAAAAACAAAACAGAGATGATTAACTGGGAACTAAATTTATGGAGCACGTACACCAAATCTGACTTACGAAAACTCAAACTTACACATTGTTAGGTGCACTGAGCTTGCTGTATGAAGGAGGAGCATCAGAGCTAGAGCTTCCACCACTGGATGTACCTGTTACACAGCTTTTTTGCTCTGAGCCACTCGAGGTACTAGCTACAGAACTTCTTCGCTCGGAACCACTGGATGTACTAGCTACGGAACTTCTTCGCTCGGAACCTGACGCACCAGCACCAGGTATCTGTAAACTCACTTCTTTACGTATGTCGTAGAAAATCTGAAGTTGCATTGGAGTTAGCCTCATTGACTCCGGCTCCAAACTTTCCTTTTCCAAAGATAACTCTATAGAAGCCAATTTATTAAATAATTATACCAAACAAGCAGCATGATTAACATTCTGGAGTTGTAAGTAGGAGAATAATATTTGGAACTGTAAACATATAAAATAAACATTTTCTAGTGCCTCATCTAAATGTACAACATCCAACCAATTTTATGTCATCATTTAATTTGGAGAAATAAAAGACCACTTCTATTACTTGGCAAAGTACACACTAAACTAGTAGTTGTACAGGTGTGTTTAATCTTCTTCATTATTAAAAACCTATGCAGGCTACAGTTTATCACATCTTATGAACCAAAATCAACAATCTTAAACTATAAGGAGTTTCTCAGTCAAGAATTTTATGTTCTCACTCACTTACTTCTGATTCGAGCTGTCTGAACTACTTGCTCTCGGCTTCGTTCAAGTCGAACCAACACCTAATGGATAACGCATCTCCAATTATCAACTGAAAATCTGTTAGTTCACTTTTCTATGTATTCTACAAGAACTTCATAATAAAATCTTAAAAACAAACATAGCTTTCAATATTATTATTGTTTTTAACTAAGAAACACGTATCATGAGTTCATTATTATTTGCCCACGAGATTTATCATAATCAGTAGGAAAAAACATTTAGGCTTAGTTATTTTAACATAATATCTGATAAACAGTTCATTCTCTCAATGTCTCATGCACAAACATTAATGATTTATTTACTGTGGTACAAAAAATCAACACACACACACATATATCAAGCCTGTAGATCAAACACTATTACTGCCATTCCTCACCCCCCCCCCAAATACTCGTCTCATTAAGAAGTAACTTGTACAACAGTACTTACTATTTGAAGAATATTTTTAATCAAATCATGATATTTCCAAAATTAATTAACTGAAAATGTCTTGCATGCAAACTTACTTTAATTGTAAAAAACTCAGAGCTTTATCAATAATTTTATTAAACTAACTACTCCTTAAGTTATTCAATGTTCAGTTTGAAAACAGACAGTCTTCACCTCAGCCATTTCTGGTCGGTCCTTTTTCAGTTTACTGGCACATCTCTGACCCTGGTGTAGCAAGTCGGGGTACCAGTCACTGTACTCATCACCAGCTTTAACATCCTTCAGAGTGGCCAACTTTTCTCTGCTACAGTTACCCACGAATTCAACCTTGACAGTGATCATAACTGTTATGTACTAACACTTACATAGCTATGAGAACACTGTGTTTTCAGATTTAACAGCCAACTTGGATAATGACACAAAAAGTAATACAGCTCCTTAAACTCTAATCAAGGAACTACAATGTGAAGAAACAGCGTGTTTTAAGATGTCAACACTGTTGCTTGTACTATTTTTATTGTCATTCCAGTTGGGCTTAAAAGCACAATCTTCGTGACGTAGTTTACTTTTATCATCGTAACGAGTAATAGTAAGGGTTTACTAGTGCTATAAAAATGAACTGTTGGAAAATTAAGCACGACTCTCCTACGTAAAAAAGTAATAGCATTACAGCAAAATTCACGTACTGAATTGTTCAAATATACTTTGTGAATCACTAGTGTTATCCACTGGCTCCAAATATGGTGCTACAACATAGTAACGACCCAAGTTATTTCACTACTGGAGACAGGACATGCTAATAATGGTGCTACATTATATAATAATTAACCAAGGATACATCTCTGATACTACTGGAGACAGGACACGCTAATAATGGTGCTACATTATATAATAATTAACCAAGGATACATCTCTGATACTACTGGAGACAGGACACG